TTTAGTATCTGAAACTCAGCCCTCTATTTCTGCTACAGCGGATAACTTTATTTGCCTCAGACTGAAATCTCTGAAGAATTCCTTGTGATGCACTTAAAACTATAGGACTGTTAGAAACAAAACACTTTTGGAGGTGAGAGAGAATCTCTTTCAAGGCTAAACTGCTTTCCATTTATGTGGTTTGGTTTTATAAATACCTGAAATTTGAGATTTTATGGCCTTTCTGATCTGTGAGTTGTAGGTTTCTTTTTTCTCCACATTTTTATATTTTACAAAAGCAAAACCCACCTTGAAGGATGGCCTAATAATGCCTCAGCAATATAGCAATCTGTGGTACGGACACTAGGATGCTAACCTCCAAGAGGTGTAAGCAACAACGCATCTCTACACACCAGTACAAACAATTAGTACCTCCTTTGTCATTGCCGGTCTCTGTGTTCAAGGTTCCAAGAAGGTGAAACCAATAAATAAGAAGCAGCTGAGGGTCATCTATACCCAAAGCATTTCAGCCAATCAAAATCAACTGAAGACACTTCAGCTCCAGGCAACTGTCTGGGTCCTCTCACCACTCCCCCGATGTTTAATGAGCAATTACTTTCAACAAAAGGAGATAATGCAAAGCACAGTAGGATTACAACCACCACTAAATTGTGAGGAGATAGAAATCAACTCATTCTTGTGACTTGTCCCTGTGCAGAGAAAGATAAGACTTGAGATCACTCTACAGATAGTCCACTCCTAAACAAACTTCAGGGCAGTTCCTGCACATCAGAAACTGCGTTATAAACTACTCTTGCATACTTGCACTTCTGTGAAAACCATATGAATAAATTTCTCATGTACTCTTTGTTCTTAGGAAATAATCTAATCTCTAGTTCTAATATCTCCAAGACATATTATTAAATGAAAGAAGATATAAAACAATAAGTATGTTCCCTTTTGTGTTGTTTTTTAAAAGTATACATGTTGTATATGCATAACTATGTCTGGAAGGAAACAGTGGTAATCTCTTTGAAGAAGAACCAGGGGCAGAGGTGGGAGTCTTACACTTCACTATACACCCTTTTGTAATGTTTTAAACTTCTACCACGTGACCGCAATGCTTTCTTCCAAGTTTTAATAATATATTTTAAACATATATGTATGGTATATTAAAATTAATTTTAATGTATCATAATGTGTATGCATAATTAAAAGATTATTAAAATTAATGCATGTGTGTACTCACTTAAAAAATAGTGCATTGTTTAAAAATATTTGAGAGGCGGGCATTAAAAAATATGAGATCGCAGAGGTAGGATTCTAGATCAAAAAGAAAAGGAAACTTAACTTTCTCTTCATTATTTATCCACATATTATTTATCTGTTTTTTAAAAATATTATTTTCATTAGGAATACACAAGAAATTTGATCTATGGCTACCAGAGAAGGGAGACAGGGAAGATTTCATTTTACTTCCTTTGGAATTGATTTAAAAAAAAAAAAAAACTATCTCTCTATTGACCAAAGAACAAATATTATCCAGTAGTAAATAAATTGATCTACACGAATTAAAAACACACACACACACACACATTGCTTAAAACTGCAAGTATAGTCACCTAAAGGCTTATTTTAGAGTTGTACAATTTCACCTGCATTCCTTTTCCCTAATACCTCTTTCCTATTCAGAAGGCAGGACATACACTGGGCAACAACAAGTGTGACTGGTGACAGCATGTTTTTGGAGAGCCAGAGAGATTTTCATCCACATAAGGTCTTTGAATCATAAATAAAAACTTTTTCAAGAAAACCAACCTGAATTGTTCAAAGTGCTCTATTAATAACAGAGAGCATAGCCTACATCTAATAAAAGGTCACTCCATTTTAGCCTCAGCTATGCTCGACAATGCCCAAGAATATTTTGGAAAAAGCCTTTTCTTGAATGTGTGAGCGTGACTTTTTGGGTCCTGAGTTCAATTTGATTCTACACACAAAAATCTTCTCAATTACCTTCAAATCTCCTTACATTCTTATTATGGATACAATAACCCATATTCTGGGAAATATAAGAAGGAGCTCTTGTGGAAAAATGTCACCTATCATATTTCTGGTTTTAAACCTCCTTTTCCCAACTCTAAACATCCACACTCCATCATAGGTGCCTAAGTGCCACTGCACCTTCTAACACCCTATCTGGTTTGGAGTCCTCCTCTCTACTCTGTTCTAGTCTTCACTATTCAATTATGGCTCTGTTTTAAAATACTTTTGCCAAGCTCCAGTCAAGAAACAGTAACTAAGAGAGCAATATGATCTGTCCAAGTCTATCCTTCACCCAGAGATAGAAGTCTGAAACTTCATATTTTAAACCAGAAGCTGAATAGTGAAGGCTAAGGAACCACATTCAATCTACAGATGCTTTTCATTTGGCCTGTAGTGTTTAACAAAAATGCTATTGCCAACGTTTAAAAATCAGAAATTTAACATAAAAAATCTGGGTCCTTGTGAAAAAACTGGAAGATCTAGCAATATTAGGTCAGCTTTCCCACAAGGAATTAGCTGGAGCTAATTAGTGGCTGTCCACTTTAGATGGGGTATGTGTTCTTCAATTCAATGTACTCTCCATTACTTCACCTTCAAACTAAATCCAGAACCCAACCATTTCATACCACTTCACTATAACCTCTGTTACCTTCACTGTCGCAGCCAATATCATCTCTCACCTGGATTATTGCAACTGCACCCTAACTATACTCTTTGCTTTCCTTCATATCCCCTTTCGAGACAGCCTCTTAATACAGTAACTATAGTGTTCTTGTTAATAAGCATAAATTATTAATTCATTAAACAAACATTTATTGAGCACCCATATATACCATTATTCTAGTGCTTAGAATACATCAGTAAACAAAAGGCAAAACTCCTGCTTTCATGGAGGTTAAACATTATTCTCTTGCCCATGGACCAAATCTGGGACAATATGAGCATCAAAATAGATATAGTAATGTATAACCTACTGAATAATTAAAATCTGTGCATACAATAATAAACTAACAAACAAAAAAGATAGAATGTTCTTCCTCATAGTAAAATGTCAATTAATAAATACAGATGGAGTTAGAAAAATCACCATTTTGTAACCTACATGGTAATAACTGATTCAGACTAGAATCATTAATGGATGTTAAAGCCATTAGGCAAAACTCTGAAGAGGAATAGTATATTTACTGAGTTTCACAGTATCTCCTCACAAATTATTTAATTACAAAGGGGAAAAGGATAAATTTCCAGTTAACAAATCTGGCAGACATCATCTTAACCAAGTGACCAAATTAACATTACCAAAAAATGGGACAAACTGACATGATGTCCCTCCTGTGTTAAAAATAGACATTATGTACCTACTCCTATAATGCACTGAGAGAATCACATCACTTCTGTGACATTCCAGCCAAAATTTATAGCTTGACTCTAATCATGAGAAAACATCAGACAGATCTAAACATAGGAACATTCTACAAAATACCTTGCCTATACTCTTCAAAAAAAAGTCAATTTCATGAAAGACATAAGGAACTGACAACTAAAAGCAATGCACGTTATGGACTAGATCCTAGATAAGGAATAAAAAAAATTTATCATAACAGACACTATTGGACAATGGTGAAACTTTGAATACAGTATTGTAACAATGTCGAATTTCCTAAATTTGATAATCATAGTATGGTTACATAAGATAATGTTCTTATTCTTATAAAAGAAAAGCTGACGCATTTTGGAGTTAAGGGACATGGTGTCTATAATGACTCTCAGTAGTTCAGTTACATTCACACACATACAGAGACAGAGAAAGAGAATGATAAAACAAATGTGGCCAGTGTTAACAACTGGTGAATTGTTCTTCCAAGAGTTCTCTGAATACTTCTTGCAACTCTTTCATAAGCTGGATAGTATTTCAAAATAGTCAAAAAACTTAAAACCTCCAATGACTATGCATCTCAGAGTAATAAAGTCTTTACAATGGCCTAGAAGACTTTGTATGATCTGGCATCCTGTTAAGTCTCTAACACCATCTGCTACTATACTCCTGCTCTTTTGTTCCATTCCATTCACTCAGCTTCTTGAACAAAGCAAACAAGTTCTTGTCTTAAAACCTTTATACTTCATGTGTTCTTTGCCTGGAATGCTTTTCCCACAGATATTAATATGGGTCACTCAGAGAGGACTAATCACTCTATTAAAAATTGGAACTTTCCTTCCCTAAATACCATTCTCTTCTCTGTTTTATTTTTCTCCATAGACATTACGATCACTTTACATATTATAAATTTTATTTATTTAATCACTTCTTCTTCCTCACTAAAATTCCATTATAGGAAGAATTTTTACCTGTTTTGTCCACCATTGTATCTCTAGCCCCTGGAATAATGCCTGGTATACAGAAGGCTCTCAATAAATATATAGCGAATGAATGAATTTTACGTTGCTTATCTGGCTCACTTTATAAACATTAGTTTCCTTCTAATCTACTTTTTTCTTCAAATCTGCTGCTCTCATTCACTTAACCTCTCATTTATAAAAACAATTTAGTTATAACAAGCAACAGAAAGAAGCAATACATCCTGATTTTTCTCAAATATATTTTATCAAAAATATGAAGGTTCACTGTTTGTGAATCTTCAATTTTACTGTCAGACTGAGGAAGGGGAAGAAACCTGCAAAATGATAGAACAAGAATTGATAGAAAGTCAGCTTCCTATGACTATCACCTCCTGTCCCTCTTTTCAACATCAATCAGAAGGGATATCAGGGTTCTCCTCCCAGACTGGAGAGCCCAGCAGAAGGCTATGATGATAGGCAATTAGAAATGATATCCCTCTCATGTCCGATTGGTTTGCAAAAGATCTAGGTTTTCCCCAAATTATAACAGCTTATGACCTTTACAGTCAGCCCCACTGTATCTGATTTAGGAAGAAGGGAGGCCCTATGCAAGGAAAGAGCTCAAGTAAGCACTAACTTACGCTGTGAGTAGAGCAGGATTTGAAACTCCAGAAGAGCACAAGTAAAGAGTTGAAACACATTCTCCACCCCGAGCAGTTCAAAGACCTCTTTGACAGGAAAGTCAAATAGGGGAAGCTCATTGGTACTTGGTCTCTGGCAAATTATTGGCCCATAGACTCCAGAAAACTTCAAGGACCGGCCAGGAGGTGGGAGTGGCACCTCATAGAGTACATTGTATATGTAGCTCTCAAGGGGCAGTGGAGGGGGCTGAGGTGAAGTGACTGCCTGGTGAAGTTGTTCCAGCACACTACGACATGCTTTCATGAAGGACATGGGCGTGATGAGGCAGATGCACTTAGAGACATAGAGCGTGTCCCGGCTAATGTCGTAGGAGTTGAAGCGCTGCAACTTGGTTCCAGGAGTGCCTTCACCATCCTCCATGCCACTGTGGTCTCGGCCATCAGCAGGGTGAGCATGTAGGACATCATATTCAGCATTATGCATGTGGTAGAGTGTCTGCATTGCACTGCAGATCTGTTTGCTAGTCACCTCCTCATAAAATGTGAGGGCAAACCCAAATGTCCGAGAGCCATCCTCCCTGGTGATAATAAAGGCATGGAACTGAGGCTCCCTGGGATCAGCCTGGGTCTTGAATGCCAGCCCCTTGGGCATGCATAGCTGCAAAAGACAACAAGGAAACAAGTGGTGAGAACAGTCACTGCTGACCCTCTTTTCAGAACACCATCACTATTTATTTACTTTACAGAGCACCTACTGCAGTGAGTGTTTGGGATATCAAAATCAACACAACAAAATAACTGCCCTAAAGATATTCCATTGTAAGACACACACGTAAATAAAATGATAATGCAGTTATCGGGGCTATAAAGAAGTATATGCAAAGTGCTAGGGGAACAAAGAGCAGACGACTCAGCCTAGGAACATCAGAAAAGGCTTCATAGACAAGATTATGTTCATGAGGTAGACAAAGAAAAGAAGAGTATTTGAGGGGTAAGAATAAAATGCACAAAGATAAGGAGATAAAAGAAAGCTTGGAGAATTTAGGGAGGTGAATAAGCATGACAGCATGTATTGAGAGATGATGCTAGAAATATATCTAAAATCCAGACAGATACAACTTTCTACCTAAAAATAAAGTTTTAGACTATCAGCTTACAAAATTTGTCATCAATAAAACCTTTGTTCATAGAAAAAAAAAAAAAAGAGATGCTCGTTTCACACAAAGCAAGGAGATGACATAATCAGGATAAAGATGTACTTTTTCCACTTTAACTCAGATGAGTTATATAAAGAAATCTGGAAAGCTGATCGAATTGACCTGAATCAATCAGTCTCCATTTTTCTTTTACATAAACCTGACTATACAAATGAACTACCAGCAGCCCGAGTTAAAAAATACAAGGACCTACATTATGTTAATCTATTAGCCTTGAACTTGACTTCCCAAAGCCTAGGTGTTTCTAGAATACAGCATGTTAAAATGAAAAAAGCACTGGACTTGACATCAAAAAACTTGAGGCTAAGATTCAGTTATCTCATCTGTGAAATAAAGATTCCGCCTACCTTATAAGATTATTGTACACATCAAACAAGATCATCTTCTAAAAACTATAAAAAGCTATTAAAAATTAATAGAGGCAGTACAAAGATATGTTTGAGAACAGAGCTCTGGAACCAAAGTAGGGTTTTCAATCCCCAGCTCAATGGCTTCTTAGCCATGTGACCTTGAACACATTACTTAACCTCTTTAGATCTTAGTTCCTCATTTATAAATTATGTATATGTCTGTGTATATTTATTTAATACTATCTACATAAGGAGTATTATGAGGATTAAATAAATTAATTCATGTAAAATGCTTATCACAGTGCCTAGCACAAGGTAAACCTTCAATAAAGGTTAGCTTATTCATTTTTCTATGTCTTATCTAAAATTATGATGAAATAAAAATATCCATTTCTACCATATCACTCAGATATATACAACACAGATTGAAAGAAAAATGATTTAACCTCACTATTCATGTAATCTCAATGCTATAAGCAACCAATAGCTCCGTACCACAAAAAAAGTTCATTGACCCATTGCTATGTATTTATTTGACATAATAAAAACAGACTGTGACTTTTACTATTAATATATGTATTCTGAATATTTGGTATGTTGATCAAAAATGCAGAATCATGAACATTCTGCATATAACCCCTTTTTCAAAATTTACTTTGTAAATTCTCCTATGTGTAGTTAACAAATACTAACCATTCCCACTGCATCTTGGTCAAAGGGATTCCATTCTACATTCTCAGGATATCGTGCAAGGACCTTAGACTTAAATGTTCGTCTCAGTGGAGTCTGTTCAAAATTTTCTCCTGCAAAAAAAAGAATGAAGTAAATCATCTCCACAAAGTCCCTTGAAATCACAGGGTTATGAATGTCTGAGCTTGATAGTCCAGCAAGGTAGAGAAATGAAGGCAAAGCAAGGTACAGAAATGCCAACCATCTAAGAACAGGAAAAGTATTAACGCTATTAGGTAAGTAAAATAGCTGAAAAGTTTAGCATGGTTAATACTGGACACAACAACCTATCATTTTTTTCATTAAAATGAAAATGATTACTACAAACTCAATGGTTAACCTTAATGAGAGAAAGAGGAGAAAGCACAAGGAATGATAAAGGATTATATCCAACTCTTTTTTTCTTCTGAAAGCCACAATGAATTTGCTTAAAGTCAACTGATAACAGTAGAGAAGCCTAAATATTTTTAAGTTCTGAATAAAGTATGCATTTCTATGATCTCTGAAAAAATACAAAGGGACCAAAATATTCAAGAACAGTAAGAAAGCAAATTTCAAGGTAAATCTAAAAAAGCTATTTTGTCAATTCAGAATCATTTGAAATTTCTGAAATTCTCCTTTGTTTTCCCCTTTCTCCTCCTAAAAACATTACAGCATATTAAAGTAAGAGCATTATAGTGAAAAGAGGAAGAACCAAAGAACCCACCACCTAGAGGAATACAAATGCGAAAAATCTACTAGTCAAAAAAGGCACAAGAAAGTTAGAAGGTCAAAGGGTACAAAATGTCACTGGAGAGACATATGTAAGAGCCACCAGAAAGCTTTGGATATTCTCAATTTTGTTTTGTTTTTACCTTCAGTTGTACTGGCAATGAAAGGGCTGGCACCATCCCTGGCTTTAGAAGCCTGTATATACTGGCATAATGCTATACAACAAATGAAATAACAGAGTGTTATGATAAAGCAGTGAGATTCAAATTTTTTGACCATGACTCCAGTATGAAACAAATTTTTCATCATGAAGCAAGACACACGATAAGTATATATAAATTTACCTAAAACAAAATTTCACAATACTCACCTTTACTATGTGATGCCCTCTCATAATTTCTCTTACCATTAAAACCAAATATGTTAACTGCAGACCTACTAATAGTCACAATTCAATCTGAAAAACATTACAACAGTATAATCAGATGATGAGCTCAACAGATATCAATAAAGTGCTTTATCCAAAAGTATGCTGCCTCAAATATTGCTTTTCCTAAGGGGTTACTGAGTGGGGGACATATTAAATGTGCCTAAATATTTCAAATAAATTTAGTAGGAGTCATAGATACATATGTAGGAAACACAATCAAGGACAATTCAATTGAATTCTATACCTATTTGTTGAATAATCATGTTACACAAGAGCCTTAAGTATTGTGGGGGATAGAGATGAACCAGACGAAGCACCTATCCTCAAGGACCTTACTGTCAAATGAATAGGAAAAAGAACATATACAAATAACCACTTCACAGGGGGGTTATTATCAGGGAAGCTCAAGATCTTCAGTCTATTTGGTCTGTGCACACTTGCACAGGACCCTGTTCACATGCTCTAGTTGATAGAATAAATTCTGTGCCAACTATAGTGTTTCTAAGTTAGTTTGAACCCCAAAGGGACTGTTGATTACTAAGGAAGATGTATTTTTCAACAACACAGAATTGGGATGAACCTAAAGTCAGACCATCCTTCACTCTAAATCATCCCAGAGACATCACAAAAGTTTCTAAAAAAGATTTTGTAATAATTCTAAGGCAACTGTTCCAGAAACTAATGATTTCAGTCAGAAAGTTAATGCTTTTACAACTAAACTTTCACTTCCATTTTCTCTCAGATTATGTCTGTCATCAACAGAAGCTCACTTATTCATAATTTTCAACTTCTGACAAGACTCGATCTTCTTTCTGTTAGTAAAGCAAGTATAATTTCAATTCTTCTCATTTCTTGATCCCTTCCAAACTGATTCTTCTGAAACTTTTCCAGTAAATTTCATTTCTCAAAATATATTTGGTAACCTTCACTAAGGAAGACTGGCAAAATCAGCAGGCAGCTGGTACCAACAGTAGCAACAAAGCCCTTCAGTTACGCCGAGCTAGTCTCAGAGCTTCCAGCAACACCTGCAAAGAACCCACCACCCATGGCAAGCCTGCATTTACAGTACAAAGTAATTAAATGGCAAGCAGACAGCATAATGATTTTGTCTAAAGTCTGAGATTCTCAGAATGTATTTTTAAACTGCATTCAGCTCTGAGAGAAAATAAGGATGTCTTCTGCTAAGTTTCTTCACTTTTGTCAGTTTGCTCATTTCTTCCTTACCAGACTAGAAAATCCCCTTAGTAAAAACCACAAAATATAGACACATACAGTAAGTCCTCACTTAATGCCATCAATAGATTCTTGGAAACTGCGACTTTAAACAAAAAGACATATAATGAAACGAATTTTACCATAGGCTAATTGATATAAACTAGAGTTAAATTCCTATGGCATATTTCTGGTCACAAAAACATCCCCAAACTTCTAAATAAAGCCTCAAAACACTTCTAATATTAAACACTGAAACAAATGTGAGCTATACATACATTTAAGAAAGATTAACAAAAACAAGTAAGATAATTCTTTCCCAACCTGCTTATTCCAGTTCAGGGTCATGGGTGGCTGAAGCCTATACCCACAGTTCAGGGTACAAGGCAAGACTCACCCTTTCATCACAGGGTACTCAGACTGGGACAATGAAGACATGCTAATTCACCTAACGTGAACATCTTTGGGATGTGGGACGTACTCCGGGAAACCAGAACACCCAGAGAAAACCCACGCAGACATAGGAAGAACATACTAAATTCACACAGACAGTAACGCCAACCCAAAATCAAATTTCTTTCCCTCATCAATGTTATATTGAAACAACATTAAACATTATTTGAGGACATGCTGTATACAAGAATATGGGCAGTTACCTCTGTCCTACATGAAAGCCTTTAGAGAAGAATATTTTCCTAAGATGGCTATGAGGTACCCTCTAAATGAGCATTAAAAGGATGAGACAGGGGAGATGAAGCCAGAGGTGAATATGATAAGCTGACCTGAAGTGTAGATAAAGAAAAGTGGGAGGCTATGAATCACAGGGAGTAGTCTTTTAGATCTTCTGTCCCCACCACCACCTCTCCACCTCCTGCCCCTTCTTCAAACAAGCTGACTAAAGAAGTCTTGTTAAACATGGAGTCAGATTCTGAGTAAAGGCACCACATAAAGTGCCAATCTTAGACAAAAGCCCTCTATGTTTCAGACTGGACCAGGAGCAGGAGCATAGTATTTTCACTGCGAAGGGAAAGAAGGTGTATAAAGAAAAGTTATAAGGGTCCTGTTCATTACAGCCACCCTGTAAAGAGTAACAGTAACAGAGAAAAGACATTTACAAATCTAAGATCTTTTTATTTAAAAATAATTCATTTTTTCACCATTTACTGAGGGCTGAGTTTTGAGAATAAGCAGCACAGACTTAATGCCTCAGGAACAGCTACACAGCCCCACCTCCTGAAATCTGTACATGTGTCACAGGCTAATCTTCAATTATTTAGACATTTGAAAATTCAAACAATATTAGGAATATGACATTACAATCACACTGTCCTATTGTCTAGAAACAACCACGAATTACTTGCCCAACACACACAGAGTACACAAATACCAGCAGGTCTGGATATCAGAACTAAGGCCCATTTCTAACAGCTGCTTAAAAATTAGTCAACTAAGGTGTCGATCTAGCTTTATGAATCTGCCATCAGGAAAGTATAGTTCAGATCAATCAGCAGATTTTTTTAAAACCTGCATGCCTTACAGGACTTCTAACAGATTCTTTGTTTATTTGTTCTGCTTTGCCCAAGCCAGAAACAAACAGACATTTGTGTTGCGATTAGCCTGTTGGTACTAGCTTGATTAGAATAACCCTAAATGAGGGATTCTTATGCTGAGAAGCTTCAAAGGAACCCCTAAACTCTCTGAAATTATTTACAAAATTTTGTATGAAGATATGTGCATTTTTCTGGGAAAGGAACACAATTTTCATCAGTCTCAAAAGGTCCCATGACCTAAAAAGGTTAGAAAGCGCAGCTCCAAATGTTCTAATTTGGGCAGGAAATGTTTTGACCACTTACAGATTAACCTAAATGGGCAGGTTTTCATACAGTCTAAAATAAAATATATTCGCTACTAAATAACTGTTTTCTAGGTTGATGTTGACTCAAATTAGAATATTTTCTCCTTCCCTATCATGAGAATCTTATGTGAGTTGGATACAAAATACTGTCCCTTTAAACATATATACAAATGAACAAGATAAAAGAAAAAGGGGGGGGAAATCAAACTCAAAATTTGTCTTAAGTAATCTGAAAGGTTATCAGAAAATGTTAACCAAAATCTCAAAGTTGCACATTTATAGTAAATGTATTACATCTGTGAGAAACAATGATAGTTTTGAAATGGTAGAACAGATATGAAAAGGCGCGTCCCAAACAGCTACTTGAAAAAAACTCAATACAGTCAAATCTCAACCTGGTTTATATTGAACTATACAAAGCTTCTCCAGAGCATATAGTGTTACCTTAGATTCAAGCAAAATAAAAGTAACCATCATTTCCTTTGTCAACAGAATAATTTTTATCTAGTATGACAGAGGCTTTGCTTCCAGTCATGTCAAAGTAGTTTCTATGAGACCAACTCTCTTGCACAAAACTGTGAACTCTGGGTAAAATATAAAAAACTACCTGAAGGTACTGGAGAATGAAAAGCAGGCAGATTCTGAAGAGGGAAGGAGAGTCAACACTTGGAAGAAGGTAACTACACTGGTTTCCCCTCTTTTGGCTTTTGGTCAGGCAGGTCTTAATCTGTGCCATGAGAGGCAGCTAAAATTCAAATAAAAACCCATATAGTCTTACTATATGGGTTTTTAGTCTTACTATATGAAGAACCAGAAGACAGACAATAAGGCAACCACTGCAGCTAGCAAGTGAGGGAGGGAAATTCCAGAGAAAGCCAGAAAGGAGGTACTCTCAAACTTATATAAACTCTGCCCAAATCTGTGGATGATCCCTAAACCATGCATGCATGGAACAGAACCCAAGCAACCAAGTTAGGACTAAAAGAACTGAATTTAATTAAATTTAAGCTGCTGCTCACTACAGGGGAATAGAGTTTAGCAAAACAAAAGTCAATGCTCTTTGTTAGAAAGTAACAGAATCCAGTCTCTATAACATAGCATATTCAATGTCAAAGACACAATCTAAAACTGCTCAGCATGTAAGAAACAGGAAAATCTAACTATGGGAGGTGAACACACAATGCATATATGTATGTATGTATGTCTTACTGTTAAATTGTATACCTGAAACTTAGCGGATTTCATTGACCAATGTCATCATTAAAAAAAAAATTTTTTTTTTTTAAGAAATAGGAAAACATGACTCATTCTCAAGGCAAAAGTCAATCAACAGAAACCAAGCCTGAGTTGACCCCCAACATTGGAATTAGCAGACAAGGATTTTACTTTTTTAATTTTAGTTTTATTAAGTTTATTGGGGTAATATTGGTTAATACCATTATATAATTTTCAAGTGTACATTATAATTTGACATCTATATATTCTATTGTGTGATTACCACCCAAAGTCATTTCCTTCAGCTGCCATATATTTGATCCCCTTTACCCACTTTACCCTCCCTCTACCCTCCTATTTTGACTTCCTTTACCCGATCTACTTCTCCCCTCCTCCCCCACTCCCACCCTCTGGTAACCACTAGTCCATTGTCCATGTCCCTGAGTCTCTGTTTGTCCTGTTCATTTGTTGCTTTTAGGTTTATATCCCATATATTGCTTTTAGGTTTATATCTCATATATAAGTGATATCATGGGATTTTCAACTTTTTCTGTCTGGCTTATTTCACTTAACATGATTATCCCGAGGTCCATCCATGTTTTTGCAAATGAGAATATTTCATCTCTTCTTATGGTTGAGTAATATTCCATGTATATATGTACCACAGCTTCTTTAGCCAGTCATCTATCGTAGGACACTTCAGTTGCTTCCATGTCCTGGCCACTGTGAATAATGTTGCT